TCCCAGGCATAACGTGCAAGCGACACTGCGCGACATTGTGAAAACTGGCCCTAATCATAGGGTAGGCTCCTGCATGGCGGTCAGAAGCCTTTCGAAGGGACGAACAGAAACGAACGGAGAGCGAGAGTGGGAAAACCCTCGTAGTCCAGCGTTCGTTAGCGTTCCCAGGCCCATACTGCAAGATACGGTCTCTCGAAACTGAAAAATTTTACAAGTCCGAAATCTCGAAAACGAAAAGTCGTATCGAAATTCGATCCGTACAGTTTTCCGATCTTCGATTATGGAAAAGAATCGCATCCGTCCGCGGTGGATCGGAGGATGGTGATTTTCCGAAAAATTTTCAATTTTACCGAATCAGACCCTAATCTACAGTATCTGATACCGACCCATACTGCAAGATACGGTCTCTCGAAACCGAAAAATTTTACAAGTCCGAAAATCCGAATTTTTTGCACAATCTGGCAACATTGTATCGAAAAATTAACTAATTTCATTTTAGACCTTTTAGACCAACGTCTAAAAGGTCTAAAATATTAAAAACGAAGAAGTTTTCTCAAAAATGTTTCAAATTTCGTCTTCCAAAACGGAAAAATTTTACAAGTCCGAAAATCCGAATTTTTTTTTGCACAATCTGGCAACACTGTATCGAAAAAATCAACTAATTTCTTGCCCCATCTGGCAACACTGTAAAATGCGATGTTGCAAAATTTCACCAATAAATAAATCATTTATTTACGTGCCCCGTTCGGCAACACTGCTGCGCCATCTTGAAAAATACACCATTGCATAACCCGAAAAATGAAGGGGCATTATTACACCATTGCATAACCCGCATATTGAAGGGGCAACATGCAATACTTTCTTTTTACAGCGTTGCCATATTAAACAATAATCCCTATACAACGCTGTAATTTAATTCATATTTTTCTGCACCATCGTGCAACGCTGTTGGATATTTTACTGCGGTCAAGTCGCTATTTTCACCCTACTGAAAAGCGCTTAAAAAACCATAAAATCGCGTTCATTTCTCCAGATGCTCCAACAACCGATTTCGAAATTGTGGTTTTTAGTATCTGGTAGTGCTCCTCTTGGCATTCCAGCTCAAAGTTCTAAGTCACGACCAACTTCGATTTAAACCCCTTTCAGGATCAGCATGCACATGACCAATCTGGGCCTTACTCGGTGAAAGGCGCTCAACACACGTCCGAAACCTTCAATTTGCTAATTTGTCCACATCCACCCTATTCTCTGGACATGGCTATAAGTGGTTTTGAACTTTCCCTTGGACCCACGTCGGATTTTGTGCCATCCTATGATAGAGCATTCGTAATTAACAGAGTTGGCGGGCAATTTTAAAACTTTTCTTGGTTGTAATTGGTCTGAGTCCTTGGGAGCGGGGAGGTTTCGAGTATCAGGATCTGCACTTGTACGCGCTCTCGCGGCTAACGCCGAAACTCTAGTCAACACTTTCACTTTTCTTTACCAGAAGCGCAGTACTTATGTTCCGTTTTTGTGATTCGTTGGAAACTTCTCCAAGCCCTAGACTCACCTCCGTGCTTCTTTTTCGTTTTCTAACTCATGTTAGTACAAAGGCCGAGTGCGACTGATTGTTTATGCGTTGACCAGGCCTTGAACCTGGTCACTTTTGTTTCCTACTCCTGTGTCAGCTAGAGAACCTATATACGGGAGAGTATTGTCATCTATGTGCCGCTCTATGATTGGTTCATCAGCTTTAGGCTATCATGAAGCTTCAAAGTTGGCCCAGTGTAAAAAAAAACCCGACCCAGAGGAACATGTATTATCGTCTGAGAAATGAATTATAATCACAATCAAGGGTCAATTTTCCGCAAAAATATCCATTAAACTTCGATCCGAACTTAATTCAGAAGTTTGATTTAAAAAATTCCTATCACATCAAGAACTTTGTAGGACTTTTTCGCCATCTTGTTTGTTTACAATGGGCCAAACTAGGAGCGGTGGGGCTGGGGATTGTTTACAGAGGGCCAACTTTGGGGCTCCATGACAGCCAATCAATCAGAGAGCGGCACACTTTTTCTGAAGTAAAAGAATTGAGATGGCAATATTCTCAGGTACACAGGTTCTCTAGTGTCCGCCGACTGAGAGTTTTGCCTCGAAAACTTTTACAAGTCATGTTTTAATCATCGCATTTCCAAGCAACGTCTTGCGCAACCCCTGTAACTCGGAGACCTGATACGCCCTCGATAGCCACCTGTTATAGCTAGGTGTAGGTAAACCAGTTTTCTAAACCCCACTTTGGGGTTTTCTGTAGGATCTTGTGGATCCGATGCTGAATAAGATTTGCTGATTGTTCAATCTGAAGTTTCTGTGATGCTCTGCTGTTTTTCCTGAACTAAGTAACTTGGATTTCTGGACCTGCTTCACCTGAAGTTATCTACCTGTTCTACTTGAGTTTCTCTTTCTTCGTTGGATTTTCGTCATCGGCCTCAGAACCAGATGAGTTTATCTTTTGATTCCAACCATGAGAACTCTTTCTGGTAGACAGTAGTCTTTGTTTGACAGTTGTCCTTTTACACCACCGTAAAGTCCTTTTGGACTACAGCAGTCTTGTTCAAGCGCAATTCAGCGCAAGTTTCTTTTCTAGTCTTGTCTGAAGCCCTTCGGTCCTAAATTTATTTCCAGTACAATTTAAATCAGCCAATGTCTCATATTTTCGCCTATAAATACGTACTTTAGCAAATTGGCAAGTTTTTCTCACACAAGTTGTTGGCCAGGGCTGAGTGCCTCATAGGTCTGTGATAGTTATCTTTAATGTCTTGGGCTAGTTATCAAGCCCGCCGAATAAAGTTTGTCTCAGAATTAAATTGTCTTCTTGATTTAGTATTGCCTATTGCCCCTGGATTTATTTAGTTGCAGTCTTTCCTTCACGTTCGTTGCTTTTTCTCTCTTGAGTTCACGCTTCCCTCCATCTTGCCCTTCTCGAGAAATGCATCGGCTCATCTTGGTGGGCACTGTATCAGTACCGACAAAGAGGTGATGAGTCACGTCTACAGTCTGTTCCAAAATTAGACAGTAGAATTCTCTGCTGTTAGAAATGAAAAACAAAAACCACGCTATGAAAAGTGCGTGAAAAAGGAAGGAAGTTACATAGAGAAGTAAAGTTTAGCGTTTTTCTTTAAATTTCACTTTGCTGCATATATTTCGGATGCCTCGAAATGAAATGCGCGAATGCACAAAACCTGCCTGGAGATCGGACCTGCGACGAGAGAGATGGGTGCAGAAATAATTTAATATTGCAGCGGCCTGCTAAAGACTGAATACACTGTAGCTCGTCTTAAAGCTGAAAGTATAACCGGTAAAAAATTTTTTATTGTTTTGCTCTATCTATAATAATCCCTGAAAAAAAATAGTGAAACTTACTTATTGGGAGACCCTTGAGCAATACTGCATTGATGTGTAAGTATGTGCACAAAACTCTCCCATTGATTTATTATTTGTCTTTCCAAAATACGTAATAAAAATCATTTTTCAAATACCACAACGCTACCTATGAAACCTTGTTCAGCTTCAATCCAAGTTTCCATAAAGACAGAAACCTCACTAATATCTTGTCTCACTACTGCATAGGCACTTAAGATTGGTCATAAATGAAGGTATGTATCTCTCATTTGAAACGAATTCCTTAGTTATTCAGTTACTCTTTGTGTTTTTTACCGGAAGAGATGCTCTTCATGAAAATCTTTATGAGAATCCTCTCGGTTCTACAGGCGGAAAAGTGCAATTCTTCAAAAACTTCAAACGCGATTTTCTCACAATGTGAAAACTCGACATCCACTATTGTTACAGATAAGTCCTCTTATGTTTGTGTGGACTCCATAAATTGGCAGGGCTAATAAATGAAATTGATAAATGACTGGAAAAATTAATATTTGACACACGAAATTAAGAAATGTGGGTACTAAAGGAAAGAATAGTTAGAACACTATGTTCCCACTAAGAAAAATAAAGTAAAACTTAGAAAGAAAAGTAAAAAAGTTTGAGCCCAGTAAATTTACTGTTATATAACGCCGAGTTTGACACAAACCACCCCTTATTATGCGCGATCACAAAATTATGAGGAACCTTCACCACCTAGAGCATCACGTAATTGATAGACAGCCCCTTATCCTACAACTTGCTTCATCATTTTTAAATCATACTAAAGTAAGAATTTATTTTGTGTTGTAGACTTGTGTTATTTTATTTTTAGTTACCTTTGAACGTGAACTTTTTACCTGCATGTGTCAAATTGTTAAGCTTTCTATAAAATATAAAATATCATCATGACTGGTTTCACGTATTAGTTTATTTGTAATTTTTTAGTATCAGTATTTTAGTGATGTCCTGAACTAACACTGAAATTTCCACTTTCCTTATCTTTTATAAGAGTCGTATCAGCAGTTTAGACCTCTCTCGAAATTTTAAAAAGAGATTTGTCGAATCCTTCCTTGTGAAAGTGAAGAAAGGAAAGAGGAGAAAGGGAAAAATTACGCTACATTTTACAAACATATTGTTGAAAAGTACTTTAGAGCTCAACTAACCCATAAGTATCGCCAGAAAATAGATCTAAGCCAAAAAAATATTTTCAATGTGGAGATGATTGCACAGTTAAAAAGTACTTTAGAGCTCAACTGACCCATAAGTATCGCCAGGAAATAGATCTAAGCCGAGAAAAATATTTTCAATGTGGAAATGATTGCGCTATGTCCTAGCAAAGAATGATCTTTCAAATCTTGTCCTCGCGGTTCTAGTTTTATCTGGTTTTGTCTCTCTCTGCTAAAGTTATCTTTAAAATTAGAAAACATAAGATAAAGTGTGGGTATTACACTCAATCGATCATCAATTTTTTTCATTCTGGTGGCCATTATGCCTATTCAAAAGAATGGAAATATGTCATCCCACAGTTGCTTCTCGTCCCCACCTACATAGTTTTTGTGGAAAAATTGTGAACAGACTTCTTGCGAAGTGAAAAATTCACCAACCTCAGTAAAAGCTCTCGAGGCAATTTCTTGTTGATTTGAGCATCATCCTCCAAGAAAACACGAGCTAACTGTAGAAAAAAGAGAGGTAAAAAAACAAAAGAAAAAAAAGAATGATTAGGTACATGCAAGAAAAAATGTACAAATAAAGAACAAACTACCTCCTTAATCCTGGAAAAAATGGAGAAGTGAGAAAGGAGTAAAGTTGCAAGAAAATTTTTAAAACTTCACAACTCATCTCAACACAATTTCAGGTTTTTTGGTCCCAGAGTCTAGACCCTTTTTGACAATAGCCCACAAAAATTAGCTTTTCATTACGCTCTTCAAAGAACGCCGTACCATCCTAGTGGGAAATCCCCTCAGTCAAATCTGATAAAACTTGGATATGTTGCTCAGCTAGTCATTCTGATCAAAAGCTCTCACAGGCCAGAAGAGACCCCATGTACTGTTTTCGAGATATTTACCATTGTAAATTGCCGCACATAAAATAAATCAAGGTTTCATCAGATTTGACCGAGGGGGGGATTTACCATGAGGATGGTGTGGGGTTCCTTGTCGCAGCTCGCAGAGCAAGTCGCTTAGGAAGCGCGGAGCGATTGCTCCAGGATCCAAGAGGTGGAAGCCCTATGGCTGGCTGTGACGGCTCGCTACAGCAAACTGGGAACACCTCGTAATGTATGAGTGGTTGCAATGTGACCTCCGTTTCATGGTGGCAGCGATGAATCAAAACCCTTGATAAGTGTTGTAGACACATACTTTCACACTTCGACTATCAATAAAGTTATTGCATCGCATGGGAAGAAAGGAGTCAATTAAATACTGAACAAAGACAGAGGAACGTGACACATTTTCTGTTTTTACCTTCATTTTTCTCACCTTCCCGGACCAAAAATCATTTCCTACAGTTTTCTCTGGCTTGCCTTGTTGCTGATAATTCTGAAAAACAAGAAAAATAAAAATAAAAGGATACAAAAGGATGCAACAAGAATACATGCACTCTATAAAATGAAGGCACTGCTGGCATACAAAGAAGTAAACATCACTTTTTGATTATACTTATTGATCTAAGAGATAATCAGTCGAAGAATTCAGTTTGCTTAAAATGGAGCTCTTGCATGTGTCAGGAATTTATCGATTTGAATACTTTTTAACCTGTAAAATTTTGCTAGGAACACAATGGTGCCACTGGTTTTCTCAGATATTAACTCACAAGCTCAAAAGAAGCTCTTAAAGTTCAGGCTGTCGTGGAGGGATGTCCCACGCTACGCTATGAGTCCACCTCCATAGCTAGTCAAACTCACAGAGAAGGCGTAAATAAATTAGCAGGGTTGCTGTGGTTCCAGATTTGGAGGCCCTTAACAAAGTGGTAACTCTGCTAAATGTATTTTGCTCCCTGTCTGTGCACAGCGAGTTGGACTAGGTATAGAGGTGGACTGTCAGTGTTGCTAGGGATATTCCTTCCGTTATGACCTGAAATTAGAGAGCTTTTTTCGAGCTTGGTTGATTTCAGAGAAGACCAAAGGCATTATCAAGTTTTTAGTAAAATTTATCATGAACCAAAATACTTAAACCACAAAGTCCTGACACATGCAAGAACTCCATTTATAATAATCATTACGAAATACGATTTAGCTAACCTCAAAATCTACATCTCAAGGTACACTGTAAACATAGCAATGAAAGACTCATTTGGTGCTAACTTCAAAACTTACTTACAAATAAAAAAAATGCAAATTCGGCTAAATCGAAGCCCTAAACGCTACGGTCAAAACTTTTTTTTTTCGACTCCCAGAAAGGTTCAACAGTAAAAGTACCGTATTTGAATGATTCATCAATAGCATAGGCGGTTCTAGACCTTCATGTTTGGGGGTGCCCAGAGGTGAAAAATGTCGGAGACCGGTCTCGAAGTGGAAGGTCGCTCAGGGGAGGCCTAAGTTTCGGCCCTCAAGTTTTATCCCTTTCCTACCATCCTTTCTCTTTTTCTCTCCTTTCCTTCTACTGAAATACCTATACATTCAACGTAGAAAATTTTTTAGCAAAACTTTCCATCAAAACTACAATCTTACCATAAAAAACAGTAGAATCTTTGTAAAACACGGCTATCAATATTAATTCTGTTTAAAACATTTTCAATTAATTGCTGGGATTTTTACTCAGTGTGAGCGAATGCAGAATCTTTAAAAGCAGTATAATTTGGTCCTTTTTATATTAAATTCTATAGTGGTTAAAAAAGCAATTAATAGAGGTGAAGGAAGAAGAAGGCCCCTTTCACGGTTCCGGTAACTGCACTTAATTTTTGTGTGGGGGTGCCCGGCACCCACTGGCAACCCCGTAGAACCGCCTATGAATATTAATCAGTCTTCTTCCATTAGAGAAGCACTGATTTCCAGATTTCAGGCTTTCATGGCAGCAATAAGTGCTTTCCTGAGATCTCCAGTCTGCTCTCCGGCAGATGGTTAATCGGAAAGCTTGGAGGGTTACCCAATGACTCGCCGCTACCTCTCTGCGCTGCTATGTTGTTGTCGTCCACCAGAATCTTCATTCTTTCTTTTACATTTTATTAAGTAAACTTAAATTCGACGAAATCTCCCATATTTCTTAACTTTCAAAACTTTCATAACAATAAATGAATGGCAGGCCCAGAACTTCATGATGTTTCCTAAGAAAAAAGCTACAAAGTGAAGAGGAAGTAAAGCAAACCTCACTACTACGTCTCTCTCTGTAGTCTGTAACCTCGATACATCGGAGACAAACGTAGATGGTCTCCGGGTAATTCCTTTGGAGTCTGACAACGGTCTCCGTTGTCTCCAGGTAATACCGGACACCTCCTTGGAGACTTCAGCAACACACCACTCTGATAGAGATATGGAGAAATTCGAAGAAAACTTTTGTTAAAGAGATTTCAGGGATGAAGTAAGTGAACACCTGGTATTCGTTCCCTCCTTTCTAGAATTTCAAACATATCCGGATTTCGCCACCTAGTCTCCAGCCATTAAGAGATGCGGCTTCAGTTTTTTGCTCTTAGACTCTATCTTTATGTGTTTAGTAATCACTCCGTATACAGGTTTTCAATTTTGGTTTATAATTTGAATAAGAAAGGTAGGCAGCGATATGAGGCGATTTTGTGGAAAGATTTGCTACCTTTTTGGGTCCTTAGAGCTTTATGTCCGACATGATCATATTTTCCATTATTCAGTTCATTGAGGCCTAACAATAGGGTTGAGAAACAGAGTAAATTGATTGCAAAACTTGTCTAACCTTAGAAACTGTGTGGAGAAGCTAGTGGGCACTACTGAATCAATCCAAAATTGAGTCCCTTGGTAATTAAGAGTTGAGATAGTAGGACAAATAACGAAAAACAATACCAGTTAATGTTTATTAGGTGCTTTAAAGTATAAGTAAATACCTGAATGTAATTGTGTTTCATAGTTGCTTCGAATGAATCATTTCCTTCAAATGCCTTGTTTGATGCCTTGTCTGAGTCATTGGATCTTGGTGATTTTGATCCGTGAGTATTATCCAGCGTCTGGAACATTAAAATAATTGAGACTTGTAGATGCAGAGAAACTTTCACAACTGTCAGGCTTTCATGTAAGTAGTCTTGAATTCAGTAGATAACTGAAGTCGCATTGAACTGAGATAATATTATTATGAAAGAATTATTCTAAGATAATAATGCTGTTACAGGAAAAATGTTCTTGGTACAGAAAGAGTAAGCTCAGCTACCTACAAAACTTGGGCTATAATAAATAGTAAAGCTAAATCAAACAAACTGATTAAAGCTTTGAGATTTTGTGCAAAGCATAATATTGTTACTAAATTGTTTAATATTTTATCAAATAGGATACATATGTACTTAATATTCAATGATTTTCTAGTTTTGAACGACCGCTAGATTATATAACATTATAGTAAATTACTTGATTCTCTTATTACTTACTAAATTTAAAATATTTTCTTTTAAGTACCTAGGTAAAATTCCTGCGTTTATTTAAATCAAAATTTAAACCTTTTCAGGATTAGGCTTTTGTGATACCTCGAATTAGAGCTGTGATTATTTTGTCAGTCTTTTTAAATAATCTTAATGTGCAAGATAAAAGTTCAATAGAGTCATAAAGTTGAATGATTTTATTTCAAATTAATCACGTATTCCTCAAAATATAAAAAAGCAAATTCACTTATTCACCTGTAATAAATGCTCTTGAAATTCCTGATTTTTCTTACATAGGGAAGAGATGCTAAATTCAGCCAATGATATACGAAGGATCTAAAAAATTAATGCTTTTATCAGTTCATTTTGGAAAGAATCAGCCTGAGGGTTTCGTTTATTTAAAACTCTTCGAAAAGGTGATACACAGTGGTGCCCATCCCCCCCCCCCCAAAAATTTTGAATTC